TCCCTTTCTCTTCACTCTGCTCCCTCCCCTCCCCCTTCCCTGCCTTTGTTTCTTGGCCTCCACAGCCTTTCTCTACCTCCCTCCCTCCCTCCCTCTTTGCTCAATCAGGCCCCCCCTTTGCCCGCTTCCTTCCCTGTCTGTTCATTCCTCTTCCTCCCTCCTTCCCTCTCCCTCCTTCCCTTTCTCTCTCTCTCTCTCTCTCTCTCTCTCTCTTTCTATGTGCTGTGGCCTCCCTTCCCCCCACTCTCATCTCCCAACACAAGTCTTTAAACTACAATCAGGCAGCTACTTGGTTTCCTCTATTCCTTAGCGTTTACTTTCTCTCCGCCCTGGGGAACCAAGGGGCCGCGGTGGGAGGGGAGCTGCACCCCCCACCGATGGACACCCTCATCTCACTGGCTGAGCAGGTAGGGGAGCCCAGGGCATCAGGAGCCTGAGCTGCCAGTCCTTTGGACACCATGGAGGGCTTTGTTCTGCGCCCTCAGCATAGGAGGTAGGGAGAGGCCCTTCCCTGAGGAGGAGATGCTGCCTGCTGAGCCAGCCTGGTCAGTTGACTAGAGGGGCTCGAGAGGTTTGGGGTTGGGTAGCCCTGGCACATCAGTGGTGCATATGTGGCAGACCCCTGGGCAGCCCCAGGGTTGCAGCCTGTGAGATTGGGGCTAGGGGAAGGGGACCGACCAGAAAGATGGCCCAGGGGGAGGAAGAGGAAGAATAATGATACCAGGTTACAGAGTCCCCAGCATCCCATTACTTGAACACATATGCAGAATATAAGTGAATTAAATTCCCTCTTTCTATCTCTGTCTCGACAAACATACATACACAGCCCTCCAGGCTGACCCAAAAGAGATGTTCTGCAGTGAGTAGAGCAGATGGGCATAATGACACAGGGCCCAGGCCAGACCTCAAGGCCCATTAAATGTGTACTTGTGGGGCCATGTGTGTTGTGGTCAGATAAGTGTCCATTCAGTAGGAAGGAAACCAGGGGCTTGACCGGCCTGGTGGGTCAGTGAAGGTTTCCAGGAAGAGGTCTGAGTGGACACCAAGGAGAGGCTGTGACTGCTCTCAGGTGCCCCAGTTCTTTGGGTCTGCCTGTGGCTCTGACCAGCCAACCAGGAGCTGGCCTGAAGCTTCACAGGACTTGCTCATGTGTTCCCAGTGGCTCCTCATAGGTTGCATGGCCCAAAGGAACAGAGATGGAGATATGGAGCCCAGAGACGGCTGACTGGAGTCAGCCAGACCTGAGACAGCCAGAACCCAGCTCTGCCCCAAATTAACTAGGCAATCTTGACCACATCCCTCAGCCTCTGAGAGCCCTGGAAGCATACTACTTTCCCCCTCCCCCTGTCCCATGGGGTTGTTTTTAGGATTAAATGATTCACCTGGGACCTGCTGAGTGCTCACTAACCAGAAGCTTAGCTGTTCTACCTATTTGTGTTTGTGGTGAATTATTGACACCTCTTTGCCCCCTCCTTGGACATGAGCCCCTCAAGCAAGGACTCAAGCTTGTCTCTTTCTACACACAAGTACAGGCCTCTACCACAGAAGCACTTTCTCCATTCCTCAGCTGCAAAACCAAACCACCTGCTACTAGAGGAAAGTGCCTGAGGTAGGAGGACAGGGTTGGTTTGCACGTGGTGTCCAGTGCAATCATCAGGAGTGGCCACTTTGGCTCATGGAAGGTCCACTTTGGACGATAAATTATATGGTTACCCTCCCTGCAGGGGTCAGACTTGTTCTCCAGTTCCCACGGGCATGTGCTATCTGCTCTTCTGCCATCTCATCTCGTCTAAAGCAACTTTAACTGTTTCTGTGCTCATAGAATTGGGGCTGAGGAGGACAAAGGGCAGGTGTGGGTGCTGACATTCACTCCATGTTGATGATGTGTAGCTCTTGGCATCCTTGCCCCATCTCAGTGAATCAGGCTTCACTCCCTCATATGTACAAATGTGGAAAATAGGCTTGGAACATGGTAGGATTTGCCCAGGATCATCCAACTGGTAAGTGGCAGTCAGGATTTGCACTCAGAAGCAAATCCTTGGACCTTGCACAGGCTGTGGTGTTGATGATCAGTTCCTCCTCTTTGCTGGCCCTGCCTTGGGGGAAGTCTAGAAAATGCTGAGCACAGTGTTTACTCAAACCCACAGCAGACATGTGGGCTGCTGCCAGGTGCTGTGTCAGAGGCAGGCCGCCATGACTAGAGGCAATGACTCCCGCAGTGGGTGGCTGGGCTTGCTCATAAAACCCAGCAGTGGTTGGTGGACGTGGGGGTGGAGTGACTAGCGGGCCTGGTGAGAGCAGGGACCCTGCCTCATTCACTGTGCTTTCCCAAGCATAGGGCCTGACCCATCCCAGGGACTTCACAAATGTTTGCTGCATGAATGAATGAATGAGTTCTTTAGTCCTTAGAGATTGTCCTCAGTCATTGAAGATTTTGGAGAATCTGGGATCCCAGAGTAGAGAAATCACTCAACTCTGTGGCTTTCATCAGAAAAGACTTCCAACAAAGATCGAGGCAGACAAGTAACGCTTTGTTTGGTTAGGGCTTTGTAAGTAACAAAGCCCCTTCACCTGTGTTATGACCGCTGGGCTTGCAACTACCTACCTCTCTGTGGGTAGATGCTTTCATCCCCATTTTATAGATGTAAAAACGGAGGCTCAGAAATGACTTTGACTTTGATTAGTCACATAGCTAGTAAGTGACAGAGCTGGGATTTGAGGCTAGGCTGACCAACTCTCAGTTAAGAAGGTATGGATTCTGAAGCAGATTTAACCCTTCTGGCCTTTCCAGATGGACCCTGAACCCTGTGTCAAGGGTTTTCTTCAAAGGCCTCACTTCAAGCTTAATAGTTTAAATCTTTAGAGTCTGTTTCAAGGAGGCTGATTCCTGTCTGGGGTATTTTTAGCCAGCCTCAGGAAGGGGAAGCTGCCCTGGGCTGTGGGGGAGGAGGGCACCAGGCAGAGCAAGCAGGTTTCCTGAGGAAGGGCTGCCAGGGCTGCACAGCCTCACTCCCAGAGGCCTGACCCTGACCCAGGAAAAAGCTGTGGCAGGACAGTTTGCGAGGCAGGCAGGAGTCACACCAGGAATGCCTTTTTCCCCTTAGTAGAGTGTCTTGGTGCCAGGCACAGAGTCCATGGCAGGCCAGGTCATGACTGTCTGAGGTCCGGCACACTGCTGTGTGGGAGGAAGTCCCTAGTCCTGGGGAAGCTGGGAGATGTGTGAGGGAGGGCTAGGGGCTGTGGAAGGCCCTCCCATGGGTGCCCTTGAGGGCTGCCTGGGAGACCAGTAGGAGGAACAGAAGCTCATGGAGTTGGGGAGTGGACATCCCACAAATGCAGGGATACACAGAGTGCTTAGGGGAGGGCCATATGTATGGTTGTAGCTGGAGCCCATAGGAAAGGAAAAGCAGCTGTGCCTGTGGGTTTGGACCTGGATGAGCATTTTTAGAAGAACCTGTGCTAACCGGAAGGTTAGAGTCTACCCAGAAGTGCCTCAGAAGAAAGGCCTGACAATCTACTTCCACAAAATCAGCCCCTGAAAACCCTACAGAATGTATTCTACTCTGACACACATGGAGTCACTGTGAGTCAGAGTTGGCTAGACAGCAACTGGCTTTGGTTTGGTTAAATCAGAGGCCATGGAAGTGAACTTGGGAATCAGTTTTAGCACTCCTTTTGGACAGTTGTCTCAAATATGTTAGCAGTCACAAAAGCCCTTCTTTCAAATTAGTTCTTACATGGAACACCAATGTATAAATTAATAAAAGCTGTATTTTTTATCTATGGGTGTAAATTTAGATATTTAAATGTGTAACATTTCACCAATCAAGAACAATAACCTGTTGTGATAAACACAGACATTTAGCATCAGGGCTGATGCATGGTAGCAGACATCTGAGATCAGCCTCAGCACCCAGTTTATTTTTTTAGGTTGCCTTGTTTCTACCCTAGTATGTGCATATAGGGAGCTCTGGTGGCATAGTGCCTAAGGCATTTGACTGTTAACCAGAAGGCTGGAGGTTCAAACTCCTTGGAAGGAAGATTGGGCTATCTACTTCCGTAAAGATACTGCATTGTAAACCCAAGGAGGGGTCACTATGAGTCGTAATTGACTAGATGGCAGTGAGTTTGGCTTTTTAGCTTTTATATACATATGTACATATATAAACATATATATTACATATATAATAATACATCTGGTAGTATACTGCCTAAGGCATTTGACTGCTAACCAGAAGGCTGGTGGTTCAAACCCACCAGCCACTCCTCGGAAGGAAGGTTGGGCAATCTACTTCCATAGTGATAACACCTCGGAAACCCAAGGAGGGGTTGCTATGAGTCGGGTCTGACTTGATAGCACATAACAACAACAGTATAATATAATGTATTTATATATTATAATTATATATGTTATATATATAATAAATACAAATATGTGTGTGTGTGTGTATATAAAAATCATTCATACAGCCAAGCCTTTGCAAGTGGTGACAGTTGTTTAACACATCACTGTATCACTTAGGCCTGTGCAAAATTAATTACCTTGGCAGCAAAGCTAGGGGGTACTATTCAATATGTTGGGACATGATATATATTTGAGTAGGTGGGCTTTTAAAATAGTAGAATCTTCATGTTTTGCGATTTTGAATTGAATTAGCAAGGTATCACTGAAGGACCCAAGGAACACAGTTTGAGAACCACTGAAGAAGTCTACCCTCCCTGTTTTCCAGATGGGAGGACTGAGGCTAGCCAAGGGCAGGGCTTACCCAGGATCCTACAGAGAGAGGAGGGAGATAGTCAGACACACAGAGGGTGTCATTGCTCCTTGTAATTACAAGTGTGCCCTATTCCTAAAGCAGGAATAGGAAGATGTCAGAGCCAGGCCCGCTCAGAATTAACTGAGCTCTTGTCTATGCTATATCTATGTCTATCTGTGGTCTGTCTGTATGTGCAGCATTGAGCCGGCAGTATTAACGTCCCCTTCTCCTTCTGCAGTGATGCCCTCCTAGCCAGCTGCCGCGGGATGGAGGGCTTCATGGACTCAGGGACACAGACGGACGCTGTGGTGGTGCTGTCCTTGGCTCAGGCCGCTGTGCTGGGCCTGGTCTCGGAAAATGAGCTCTTTGGAGCCACCATAAGCGCTGAGGCCTTCTACCCAGACCTGGGGCCCGAGCTATCTGGGGGAGCCATGGGGGATCCTGGGCCGCCGGGCCCCGATGTCTACCAGCTGGCCTGCAATGGACGGGCCCTGGAGGAGCCAGTGGAGGAGGAGGTGTTGGAGGTGGAGACAGCCTTCGAGAAGCACACCCGGCGGAAGACACGGCCCCCTGTGCGGCTGGTGCCCAAGGTCAAGTTTGAGAAGGTGGAGGAGGAGGAGCAGGAGGTATACGAAGTATCTGTGCCTGGCGATGACAAGGAGGCAGGCTCAGCAGAGGCCCCTGCTCAGGTGGCCAGTGGCGGCTGTGAGGCCCTGGTGCAGAGCAGTGCTGTCAAGATGATCGACCTCAGCGCCTTCAGCCGCAAGCCCCGGACACTCCGGCACCTACCCCGTACCCCGCGGCCAGAGCTAGACGTGGCCCCCTACGACCCTCACTTCCCTGACCCAGCCCGGGATGGCTACCCTGAGCCCACCATGGCACTGCCTGGAGCTGAGGCTATGCCTACCGAGTGTGGTTTTGAGCCACCCCACCTGGCCCCCCTGAGTGACCCCGAGGTGCCGACCATGGAGTCCCCAGAGCCTGTGAAGCCAGAACAGGGCTTCGTATGGCAGGAGACAGGAGAATTTGAGACAGACGCAGCAGGCTCGACAGTGGAGCGCCACAAGAAGGCCCAGCTGGATCGCCTGGACATCAACGTGCAGATCGACGACTCCTACCTGGTGGAGGCTGGCGACCGCCAGAAGCGTTGGCAGTGCCGCATGTGTGAGAAGTCCTACACGTCCAAGTATAATCTGGTGACGCACATTCTGGGCCACAACGGCATCAAGCCACACTCGTGCCCGCACTGCAGCAAGCTCTTCAAGCAGCCCAGTCACCTGCAGACGCACCTGCTGACACACCAGGGCACGAGGCCCCACAAGTGTCAGGTGTGCCACAAGGCCTTCACACAGACCAGCCACCTCAAGCGCCACATGCTGCTGCACTCGGAGGTCAAGCCCTACAGCTGCCACTTCTGTGGCCGTGGCTTCGCCTACCCCAGTGAGCTCAAGGCCCACGAAGTGAAGCACGAGAGTGGTCGCTGCCACGTCTGTGTTGAATGCGGCCTGGACTTCTCCACCCTGACCCAGCTCAAGCGCCACCTCGCCTCCCACCAGGGCCCCACCCTCTACCAGTGCCTCGAGTGCGACAAGTCCTTCCACTACCGCAGCCAGCTGCAGAACCATATGCTCAAGCACCAGAACGTGCGGCCCTTTGTATGCACTGAGTGCGGCATGGAGTTCAGCCAGATCCACCACCTCAAGCAGCACTCGCTCACCCACAAGGTAAGAATACCTGCCCTGTACTGTCGCCCACCCCTCCCCAGGACATTTGTCCAGTTCCTTCCTGCTTTGTCTCATCCAGTGCTTTCCAGGATAGTGCAGGTGGTGCACAGGGACATTTCTTATTTTTATAGTTAGAAATTTATTGGGATGAGTGTTAGAAAATATATATAATGGAAATTACTTTTTAAAATAGTAAAACTTTATTTATCTAACCATTTTTTAAAAAATTGAATGTTTGAGGAGCCCCCAAAGGACCCAAGGAACACAGTTTGAGAAACACTGAGGTAGCCCAACCTCCCTGCTTTATAGATGGGAGAATGGAGGCCAGAGAGAGGCCAGGATGTCACAGGGAGATGGGTGAGCTGGTCGGAGGTATGTTGTTGTTGTTCTTGTTAGGTGCCATCGAGTCAGCTCCAGCTCATAGCAACCTCATGTACAGCAGAATGAAACACTGCCCAGTCAGAGGTATAGAAGGCTCCCTTATGCTTGTCATAATTACCAAAGTGTACTGAAACTTGGAGCTTCACAGCTATATTTAATATTTAAAAGGGAATAGATGTAAGAAAAATATTTGTTATGGAAAGGCACAAGTGATTCTAGAATGTGTGGCCCTTTGGATGCACTTTATGCATCGTGGAGCCTAAACTAGACAAAGGAGTTAATGAAGACAGAAGATAGAGCAACGCTGTTCTGATCACTATGTTCTTGAACCCATCCATAACCTGTTCTCCCCTGCATGCCTCTCTCTCCTTTCAGACCACTAACCATTCTGCCTTCCAGCCAGTATCACCTCCTCAAGAGGCCCTTATGTCCAGGAAAGTGGACTGATGCATCTTAGGACTCACAGATCTGGCACTTGGCTGCCCCAAATCCAGCCAAGCTAGTTCTTCAAAGTTGAATATGTGTATATCTTCCTTTCTTAGTGATGCTTGTTGGTGGTCTTAGTGTTGCTCCAGGTCGAACTTAGAGCCTTTCTCATATAGTGGACACTACAGCAAGTGGGGAAGCAATAGCCTGCCAGGCCAAGAATCCAGCTTCCCCCACCCTGGGAACATTTCCTGTGAGATCAGGGGCGATCTGTAGGTTTCATTGCAGGTTCTTCTTCCAGTAGGTTGGTGAAAGCTGCCTAGAATGTAATGTTAAGGATTCTGAAGCTGTGAATCTGGGCTCCGCAATAAAACTTTATGATTGATTATTAATGTCTGCAGGGGGTTAGCATGCAGAGTGATCACACGTATGCTACATATTTGCCATCTTTCTCCTCTACTAGTTTACAAAGTGTTTGAAGATAAATAATACTGTAAAGAAAAGCTGAAAGCAAAACTCAAAAGCTAATAAAAATGAAAACATCACTATCTTCAGCCTAAGGTGCACACCATTCACTCAGAGAAAACTCCCAAAGGGCAGAGCCCCCTGGTGGTGACACACACATACAGTGTGTCAAGCCGGCATATAAGACACAAGGCACCACCACTGACCTGGAGGAGCCACCTATCCAATAAGAAAAAGAGACAGAGACAGGAATTATTAAATTATAAAATAAAACTTTGTACCAAACAAGTGGTTGGGCAGACACATGTCTGCCCCTCTGGGTTTCTGCTAAATTACTCAGCAAAGAGAGAACACCTTCCAGTTTGCATCCTAACCTTCATCCACGCACAGATCAGTCATTTGGACCCACTGCACACAGTGGAGGAGAGGGGAATATCATTGCCAAACCAAGGAAAAGCTAATGTTGATAGTCCAAACCAGAGGGTTTTCACCTGGAGTCTGTGTCTCCTGGGGCTGGGTTTTATAAACTACATCAATGTTAAGATTCACTTGGGGAATCTGTGAAGAAGAAAAATTCCTGGGCCCCATCTAAGGCCCCACTCAATTAGAACCTCCAGGGAGAGGCCTGAGAGGCTGTACAGTTGACAAGACCCACAGGTGATTCTTATTGCCAAGAAAGCTTAGTGAACACTCTTCTCAATGGGGTCAGTGGAAGGGCTCCCTAGCTTAAAAACTCTTAAAATTCTACACAGACTTGAATATTTGTCATTTCACCTGGGGTGGAAAGGAGGGTCCATAGCTTTAATTATGTTCTCCAAGAGATCTGTAAACGAAAATGACCACCAAGAGTCAACACAGAGGAGAACATGTACATGTCCTTGATCTGGTGAAAGCATCTGTAGCCAACAGGTTAAGACTGAGCCTTCTGGACCACAGTCCCCTGGTACCCATTGTGGTGTTAACTTGTAGCAGGGACCTGGTAAATGGTTACTGAATGAATGAATTAACAAATTCACATTGGTCTTGGCACTCATGTGGACCTCCACACATACCTGCCCTAATGGGCAGGAGACAACACTTGTGTGGGGAGGAGCTATAAAACAGCATATTTCTGTTTTTTGCTGGAAGGCTTCTTGGAGTAAATAGCCCTGCTGCCCCAACATCCTCCCAGTGTTCTGTTTTAATT